GGCTTAAGATAAAAAAAAGTCGAGGTAACTTTTGAGACATCTAACTTTGTTGTAAACTTAGTTCTCTAAATTTCAATACGGCATAGCCTCTGCTGCAATTTTGTGTAACGAATGTATTTTCACAATTTTTATCAATGACTTTCCCTTATTTTTGCCCCAATTTCCGAGAAGTGAATTACACTTTCCAAAACACACAAGCTGGTCAATTGGTTTAGTTATGTCACCTTGATTTCTAAGCAAATTTTGCAAAATTGTTTCAAGTATTATTCAGTTTTTGCAGCTGCAATTAATTAAGTTGCACAAATGAACCAGGTAAAGACGTGCAGCTTGATATAAGTCATTAATTAGTGCTCAATCATCATTCTTTTCAGGTAATTGTCAAACTGGTGACAGCAAGTGAGCAGCATGCCTAGTTAACTGAACCAAGACGAAAACGGGAAACATGAATATTAATGTTATTAGACAATGCACGCACATCCCAAGTATTAGTAGTCGATATAGAATTTCAGATAAAGCAGTTTTTATATTGGCATAAAACTAGTCCTATTTTAATCACAACACAGAATCGATCATGTTTCTGCAAGGAAACATCAGATTTTAATTTGTAATAATTTTAGTGACTAATAAGTACCGTCTGGCTACCTTACAACTTGCAAGATGCGTAATGGTAAATTAGGTGTCCTACAGACATTTAATTGAAGTCCGTCATCGTGACAAGACCTAAAAACTCTTTATTGCAAATCCAACAATATTACACTTATGCACGTGCACTACTCTGTTGATTAGTCGGACCAATTTTGTCTATGAAATAGGATTTTGTGATTTACTGAATAAAACGCCTAATATAAGCTTGACTTTTGCTGGCATTAGGTTCTATTTATTTCAGTTGTCTAAATGGTGCTTGCGATACATCATCAAAAACTAAGCTATGCTAAAAATTGGTAAAGTGTAAAGAATTTTCGAAAACCAAAAAAAATATATATAATATAACATACTACAACAATTTGCATTTTGCTGGATGCCAAGACTAACAGTTGTTTAGATCAGGCGATTCAAAGTTCGAGAGACTCACTAGCGATTTTCAATTGTAAAGGCAAGTGAAGGTGGTTCTAACTTAGTGTAAATTTACAAAAAATGTGACTAATTACAGCAGGCGGCATTTGGGTACATAGCAGTTCTGAGATGTATCTAATTACTGCTATGTAGAGAACAATTACCTTACCACGATCCTCAATATTCGTAGTCAAGAGATTAGATCAATCGCAACCATTTCAAATAAAAACTATAGCCACTGGTCGGTGCCGTTGAGTAACCTTTACACAAATCAATATGTAATTATTAATTTCGTACCACATATCTACAGATCTTAAAATTGTCCTTTATTAGTCAATATGTGTCTTTCCTATAGTCACAGGGGAATTTTACAGGCTATTAGATCCTTAAAAACACCACTACTATGTTAACGCATAAAAATTAAAAAGGCATCAATCTCACCGAAGAGTTTGTCGGAGTTGAAACTGCCAAGACTTTTTCACACTGACGTGTGTTTAAATAATATCAAATTTAGACCCATTCAAGACCTTCACACAGAACAATGTTTTCAAAACAGCTGGATAAAGTGTCTTTGAAATCAGCATGTACGTACCTACAAACTGTTTGCTTCTGGTGCGTCTGTTCATTTATTTACATCTTAACAGGCCTACTGTTTAAGCAGTTAAAATAGCCATCAATGTTTGCTAAGAAAGTTCACCTTCACCTTCATAAACTCGCAGATTGCAGTAGGTAAACTAGACGTAGGTGACAAGGGTTGCCATTAAATCACAGAGCTTAAAACGTTAAAATCGCCATTGGTTATCATAACCACAGTTCGCCTCGTGCATGCGAGGAAAAGGCGTTATGAAACACGGGAATAATTTCTTTTCTCGAATTCTGAAGTCCATCTGATGTGCTTACACAAAAACGACTTCAAATTAAAACTTTTTCATTGTACGAACTTGTGGAATAAATGACATAAGCAAGGTTAAAAAATTGAACCTTTTCCTAATAGATAATTAGGAGTTACTAACAACGTGAACATTCAGAACGGAGTTCACAAAATCTCAGCTGAATAATTTTTCAAGAATTATGTTCGATTTTATGAGCAATATACAAAACCAAAAGCCTGTTGTGGGCCCCAGCATGTGGTCTTGAACCACGCCGGGGCCACTGAATTAACCTTGGTCCGATTGCGCTTCCGTGAAGAAAAAGACCGGAGGAGACGTGGACACAACCGTTTACTTCAGAGCTCAACCACGTTGGCGTCGTTGTGTCGTGGGTGGCATTTACGCGTGTGTAGATGCTCTAACACCGAGGCATAGGTGTGAGGATGATCCAAAATAAAAATTCGTGGGAGTGAAGAGGGAGTTGAGGATTTGCGTGGCTCGCGACATGCTGCGAAAAGGGGAACCCTGTGTCGGAGGTGGAGCGACCATATTAAGGAGTGTGTATTAACACGATTCACAACAAGCCTTTTAACGAGTTATCCCTTGATTATTTCCATGCTTAATAAATGTTACCTCAGACCTCAAACACAAATAATTTTGTTGTACAATTTTATTTTCATGTCATTAAAAGCAAATTTAGGTAAGCAATGTTTTGTTAGAAACAGTTGTAAGTTTGGGATGATTTAGATTTATGTTTGTTTTGATTGTTACTCTTTATTGCAAATTCAATGAAACAACTAATCAGGTTTAATTCAATTTTCGCTCCAAAACCGATAGTTAAATGACAATTTTAAATTAATACATAATTTCATATATTTTGAAGAATTCCAGAGTGATCTTACGTAAGCTTTTATTGACATGTTACTTTAACGCACCGCAAAAGAATTAACGGTGGTGTCGACTTAGCCTTGGATTATCACCAGACATTGTTTGCTTCCAAAGCAAATTCCTATTAAAGCTTTTAACAACAATTGTCTCTTGCGCACATTTGTATTTCAATACTTAATCGAATCAACACGTTGCCGGTCTTAATACATTTTCAAGGCTAAATTTCATTTTGGGAAAAGAAATTTTTTATCAAAATTCAAATTTGAACATGACTTTGTTCACGTGACAAGAACTGTCAAACCATGTATCAACTGTCAGAATCCAGCTAAGACTTTTTTTATACATGTTGACAATTTTACAGCAATAATAACCATACCCATTGACGACTCAGCCTCTTGACAACTACTTTGTTACGGCACTTTTATTTATAATTATTTTAAGCAAGAAATTTGACTTTGTGGTAATAAATATGGAGCAATCACTACATGCCTAGATACGTTTGTGATGGCATGAACACGATTTGCAAAATTAGCCACACTGCTTTTAATCTAAGTACAGACAATATTGCACCACATTTAAGCAGAAAAGTAATTTGGTAGAGGTTAAAAAGCCCAGTGTTTGAGGTAAATAAGTAAAAATATTTGTTGCAAAATATTTCCATTAAACGCAAACTACTTTGTCTAAAGCACTAATGTAGAAAACGATTAAGGCAACACGACTTTTTTATGGAAAATCTACGAAAGACATGAAATGTGCATTTTAGGTCACCTAAATTGTGTGATTGCCTCAAGGACGTCTGTCATCAACCGTAAACGCATTTTGACCAACCTCCCTATTTGTAAACTCCCTCAATAAGTAGTGATGGATTATTGAAAATGTCAAGGCCAAGCCTTCTGAATATATTTGGGCCACTCTTCAGAAACGTGGCTTCAATTTAGAACTGAAAATGCATTCACGTTCGTTCAAAGGTGGCAAGTACTAAAACCATTTAATTTGTCTTATTGTTATGGCTGACTTTTTGTTTTGGTTAGGTCCAAAAATGGTAAACATTTGCGAATATGTATAGAGCTATTAGTGTTTTATGCATTTTGGCTCCAAGTCTCAGACGTAAAAGTGGTTGATTTATGGCAAAACTGTTTGATTACTAAAAAGAGCTAGCTTAGGTGGTATTTGTATTATATGCGCGTTTCCAAAAATCTGTCAGGGTTTATGAACTGTTGCATGCAAGAATACATTTTGATCTGTCTGAGTATATATTACTTATATCTACGTAAATTAATATAAATGCAGTTAGTTAAAGGGAATTTTGAACAGGTTTTCACTTAAAATGGCCCCAAAATATGAATACTTAAAGTAACCTTTAGATCTATTTAGTGCTATTTAGAATATATGTTATATCCTAGTTTATGCCACAGTTTCATGTTTGGCTTTAATTTTTACACCTAACAAATGTGAAAATGCAAGTTTTAAATTCATTTAAGATTGTTTATATTTATGAGATCTTGAATGTCATTCCCTTAATTAATGAATATTTTATCGGCAACATTAAATTTCTAAAATATTTTTTTAAATTCTCTTAAGTCTAAATTCGTATGCACAAATATATGCTTTGAGTCTGGACTGTAGCTAAAATTTTTCAAATCAAATGATGGCGACCTAGTAGGCAATGCAGACATGCGTGCCTCAATTGTAATCACCCTTTCACAGCACAGCACGATAAACCTGTGCAGGTCATGCCAAGCATAATCGTAAGAACTGAAGTATGCGAATCTGACTGCTACTAACATGTCTATTTTACTCATTCTTCTGGACTAAACAAAAGAGCATTCTTCAAAAATGAGTTGGTGTGTATTGGATTCTTGTCACCACCAATTACACAAAGCGTAGGTTTGCTTTTAGCAATAAAAATCTCTTGGATTTTGCTAGCGCCAACGCATTTCACTTAAATCGCGAAACTCTGAATCTTTTCTTCCTTTATTCACTTTATTTGGACTTTTTGGTGGGTAAATGGAGGTTCATTTATGGATCAACTCAACAAATTTCGCCCCAGGTAATTCTGGCATATCTTACAATCATGGAAATGATTCATAATACCTTCCTGCGTTTTTCATTTTACCAAAAAATCCATTAGTGTGATCCAGTGTGCATTTATACTAATTTCTGCTCCATCTTTTGACTTTATGTTAAAGCGATGGGTCCGGTCGGACGGGTACATTTATATGCATCAACGAACTCCTTGATGTAATCCGTAAGGACGTGATCGGCTCGTCCGTCCCGCTTGCTCAATATGCTCTTAAAGTGGCCACGTCCCGACCTCAAATGATCGAGAGCGTGGAACAGTACGCTTTTATTTACACAGTCATCTCCGAGTGGGTGCGATCCGGGGGTGAGACGAGTGTGCCTTTGGAAAGTCTTCCTCTTGTCATGCAGCAGTTGCGACGGCCACCAAAATCAGGTTATGGGATTGGCCATTGCTCATCGAAATACGAAGCCGAGTTGACGGTATGTTCAGGTGGAGGCGAAATGTAAAAACCCCATCTGAAAAAACTCAAACTTACCTTACTTCTCGGTAACTGTAATGAACAATAAGCAAATTTTAACATTCAGAAATCTCGTTCTGTAACAACATTGATATTATGCCGATAATAATTCAATGTATGAACTCTAAGTGACTGTGGAGGAGAAAATTCTTGTAACTTGAAGATAAAATCATATGGGTTGACCATCAAAAATGTGGTGCAGAAAATGTGGTGTACAGAAGCAGCACTTAGTAGTGGTATCATTGTTTTATAATATAGTTGAGTTGTTTCATCTTCTTAAGACTCCTCCTTCAAAAGTCTTGCGCTGCTGCTTACTTTTTATGCTAGAAAAGATATTCTTTTGTGTGCGCTGCATTTTTAAAACAATTTGTTTTCCGAAGGTAACGGAAACCACCGCAGAAAACCCATTGTCAAGGTTGATCTTTTCCACGAAATGAGAAAACAATGTAGTATGGAAACTCCTAGATAGGGGCTTAATTTTATGAATGTCGCCATTACCTCTAAACCTGTAATCCTTTACAAAACAGCACAAGCTTGATTCATCTACAAACCACAGCCTTGCTAAATGCCTCAAGGTAAAATTTTGTAGAATTTGTACAAAAAAAAATAAATATCCCTTGACAAGTTTATTTACTTTGTGTGATATAGCCATTAGCTTAAAAGCTGACAGTTCTTTATAGTTACTCTCTTTCTTGAGAGCGTTGGGGGTGAGAAGGGGAACATTTAAAGATCAGTGAAGCGAATAATCATGCCAAATTAGGAGTTCAAATGCATGACCTAGTTCCGAAGAAATTTGGCTTATTACCTCGAAAAGTCAACATTCATATTCTCACGATGGCAAAGTAATGTTAAACCAATGGAAAAACGAAAATTCGCAAGGCAAATTTTGCTGAGAGAATTTGATGTTTTCAGAGGGAGGCAGACCAAAGGGAGCCGTCATCAAAGTAGTCTTGTGACATTACTAATTCATCACGGGAAGAAGTTGTTGATAATTTAAACTGACTTAATCACGTCAGATGCACCGATTGAGCGGTAAACGTGCAGCTGAATTTCCATCTCATTGAAGGTTACCACACAGAGGACCGTTATAAACAAAATAGTAGTTAGGTGTGAGCACTAAGCAAACACAACCGTTGACTCACCCACATATTGAAGGCTTGAAATGTCACGCATTTCATGTTAAAGTATTGCTAGTCCGACTACTTGTAACGTATAGCAAATAAGAGTTTCATTTCTACCATATAAATGGTACGTTAGCAGATCTGGCCGAATTGCAAATGTTTTTATCTCTTGCAGTACAATTTGCGCTTTAAATTAAAATCACTAACCAGGGATCTTAAATTTAAACTCTCGCAAAGTCACGTCTTATAATTGAAAAATTTATAAATATACTTGGAACAAAATTTGACAGAGCCTAGACAAATGGAAATGATTTAATACAGAGCATCAGCACATTTCGTCCTACTTTTTTACATTAAAATTAAAATCATGCGCTATTTTCTAATTCTTTTATCCCATTACAGCTCATAAATCGTCTAGTCAAACCATTAACAGTTGGTGAATGCGCTGGAGGCCATAGGTTGGAGAATCGTAGGAAAAGCCGAAACGTTTTAATCCAACCCCGTAAGTTATTAAAAATGAGAGTTTTATGTGAAGCTAGATGACGTCATGATGGTGCTTTATTTTATTACTATTCTGACGAGCAGATCAAGTTTTTCAACCTTTTGGAAACACATTCCACAACGGATTAAAATTTTGAGGGTAAAATTTTTGTCCGTCGGTAAGTTGTCTGACCAAATCCAGAAATAAATGGAAAAGATATTTTTCGGTGAATGTTAACTGATAGTGGTTTACAATGGTCTACTTAAAAATTAGCCCACAATTTATTAAGTCTCTAAACAAACTTGATTTATTCTACAAATCGAAGCTTCTCTGGTCGTCGCTAACACTCAAAAGAATATCATTTTCATATCTTAGGGGTATATCTTTTATTTCTACTCTAGCACTGTTATCGTCTATGTTATTTTCATTAATTAGGCTTGACACTCATCAATCTTCATCACTTTCCTGCAATTTGCCTTCTTACCCACAATTAAAAGGCTGAACCTATCACGAAATTAAGTTGTGGCACTTACCAATCATCTCTGTGCTACTAGATTAATGTCAAATTTCCAATGCACTTTGTAGTCGAATAAACCGCTGCTAATTGAAAACGTTCAATTACGTTTTTTTATTATTTATTTTGCTAATCCATTTGGCGCCTGGATACTCAAGAGTGACCAGATTTGCTACAGTGTAGAACAATTAATGTTGTTTCTAGTACCAGCGTTATCAAAACAAAAATTAATTTGGTCGCTCAGATACGCGTCAATAACACTACTTGTTTTCTTTTAAAAGACACCAGTCATTTTGTTATGTTGAAAAGTCAAGCTCCTGGTCTGCTTGCTTAAATCAGAACACACTATAAATTTTAAAAAAAAACTTTATTTGAAACGCAAATATATTCTTTCCATACATTGATTTATTGAAATTCATAAAAAAATTGATCTGAATTTGCACGATTTATAATGCAGCATTTGAATTAGAAAACACGCTAGCACTTGTCTCAACTTCGCTGCTACTATATTACTGACTTTTATAGCTTGCTCTATAATTACTGTCTAAAAAAATGCCAACAAGTCAATACTTACGCGCCTACTAATTTGTGCAGTCACTATGTTTAAGTAGAATATTTTTGAGCTTAAATTAAAAATTTTTTGTAACTGAAATAGGGTAAGTAAGCAATTAAGAAAGTCTCAAATGCATTATACAATTTAAGAAGTTAGAAAATGGTCCTGTGATATTAAATCTAACAAATTATGTCACATTATGTTAAGCTCACTGTTCATTTATACTCAAATACGACAATTTCAATTTCAATTCACAAATGTGTTTATAATGAATGAGACTTCCAGAAATTGCGTTGTATTTATAATTCATTTCATTACAAGTACCCTCAGAGATGGGTGTCGATTTTGCTCACAAAATAACGCCTATGATAAAACACATTCAAACTAAAGTCACGCACGCTTTATTGTCGTTTACATCTTTTATATATTTATCTAATTAATCAGTCACACTATCCGTTTCTAAATTGGATTATGTGGTAAAAATTATCGTAGGGTCAAAAAAATTATTTTCTGAAGTAAAAGGAAAGGTCTAATGTTAACTGTTCAAGGTGGAGTTCATCACAACATTTGTGGATGTCTTATACGTGCTCGATTTAAACACTCTGGTTGTCAAATTGGCATATGTCTAAAAGCAAATGAATTGAATATTACCAACTTGAAGAAGGAACAAATTTTATTTTAAGGGATACAACAAATAGCTAGTTCTAATTTGAAATTTGGCATTCAGCGAGCATTTTAGTGAGTTTTGTGCTTCCTAATTATTTAGCTAACGCTTAAATGACTAGGTATTTACCCAGCGGTTCTAAATGACCTTTTTACCGAATGTTTTTTTTTTAAATTATAACGGAAGACAAATTTGCGAACTCTGCTTGAGTATACGCCTGGATTTTAAGTAGAAATGATGAAGCCGATAGCATCTTGTACATGCGCATAGCATTACTGCTCTTTATTATTAATACTAGTCGGCTCGTCGAATGTTCTTTATTCTTTTTACAAACAACTATTTTTGTGGTATTGCATTCTAGACTATATTTACCCAGTGGTTTATAATCTCGCGAAATAAAACTTCACAGTTTGCCTTCCTTGGGTCAATTGTTAGATCTAATTAGATGTACATGGACAGATGGCTTGTGAGGAAAAGCCTTCATTAGTTACCTGGTTATTTATAGGATTTACTAAAAGCCTAGCAGAAAAGTCTTCTAGGGGAAAAAGGATACCAAATTGGTCATTCCAATTGCCAGATGTTTTGCATTTTTTTGCTTTTTTTATGCAACTGATCTAAAACGACACCAATATGGACAGCATTCACTTTTCTTAATAAGATTTTATAATGACCATTGTTTTGGAATACAATAACCCAAAAGCAGTTCATTTTTATTGCCATTTTTGAATTCAGGTTTGTAATTTTACGCCGTTCGATGGGAAACCTCTTGAAGCATAAATTCGAATTTGTGGTTTTGCTAAAACTGGGAAATACGATGTATCGAAAAAATAATAAATTGTTTCAAGGTCTCAAGACTGTAAAAATAGTTGGCGTCGCCTTGTCTTGTCAAACATTTTGACTGCCCTCAACGTGCTTCAAATTGTGATCTTAAAAATAGCTAATTGCTGTTCTAGAGTTAAATTTTCTTTGAATGAAATTTTGTTCAATATTTTATTAATATCCTTAGCTGAACGTGCAAGACCTTACCTCACAACTCAGGACAGTGGAGATGGGAATGATTATATAAACGCCGTCTTTGTAGACGTAAGTATCTCATCGTTTCGCAATTGTCCCCTAACATCTTTGATTTTATCACTTGGAAAATAATCAAATTAGTTCACTGCAAGTGATGACCAGCTAGAGTGCAAAGCGCATCAGGTTTTACGTGTGCTATGGCCTAAAAGCTCTGATAAGCATGCAGGCAGCCATCAATTAGTAAACAAAGGTCTTACTTTTACAATGAAACGTGTGCATCTGATTTCTTTATGTCCGAGGTAACTTCTTTTGTGTTTGCATCGAATACAAACTAATCCTTCATTAGTTGAAAGTTATTCTCGTACGACGTTATTTTAGTACAATATTTAATTGTGTTTTTCTATGATTTCCAAAATTTATCGTAGCTGATGTTTAGCAGCCTGCAGACTGTTTGATTTGCCAAATTGTCATGTCTGTTCTAACTCCCCATGGATTAGTAAAACTCAAGGGGCTTATTCCTCACTCTGCATTATTACCTAGAAATACAGAATTTCAGTTTTAGAAATAACTAATATTGCTTGTTTCCAGTACCTAGCAAGTGACCTGAGGTTAGCTAAATCATTATCCCTAAGAACCAGGGAGATTCACCCACTTAGTTCATTGATTTAGTTACGCGGTCACTTTGATATGTGTGATTAGTTTCGTGTACGAGAATTCAAAACATGCACATGTTCGAAGATATTATTCCTCATAGCTAGGTTTACAGTTCTACTTAGACGCAAGTGCATTTCACACTTCAGTCACTCAAGTAGTACGAGTGGCTTTTAAATTTTTTATCGCTGAAATTAAGAGAGCTTATGTTTCGGGACTGTGAATGATGTTGGAGTTAGTTTGACGCTTAGCAACTGTAAATGCGAATGACAGTGTTGTGAGAGATAATGAAAAGCAATTTCCATCGCTAAGGTCACTCCAAAATTATATTTTGTGGTGCTGTGTTATTGCCAAACTTGGAACATATTTTGCTTCTTATTGTGTTCATGGTTGTCTGTATTCCTTGATAACGACTTTTCAGGGGTATCGAGCTAAGAACCAATACATTGTTACTCAGTGGCCCCTCATGTGGACACTTTGTGATTTCTGGTGCCTCGTGGTTGATTTTCAGGTTTCCGCCATTGCATTGCTCAATCCCTACAAACTTGGTGACGTGAGTTTCTCTGGCACTTTAAACCCTGTTTTTTGCATTTACAAAAAATTTCATACATGCCGGTTACACCAATCTCAAACTCTGGCTAAGTACTTCATTTTAACCAAATACACTAAATTTAATGTCGCACTTAAGCAGGATACCAAAATATTGTTTTAAAAATCGGTTGCAAATTTTGTTTGTTAAGCCATAGTCGACAGCCGATATTGATACAGGTAAAGCGGAAAATATATCAATCAGTTTACCAATTAGAAAAGTTAATATATTAAATAACTGAGAAACACTACAATTAAATAAATAGTATTTGGAACTAATCGCGTGGGCGCTTGTTATTCAGATAGTTAAATTAAAAACTGTGTGGGAAGTGAATTGTAACCAAATTCATCCATGATTTGCACATCAGATTATTCACCTCAAGATGTGTAGCATTTAAAATGTATACGTTTTACCGTAAGACTTATTTAATGCAAGCGTTGAACAAACTTTGAGTATAGTACTTTGTTTTAAGGTGAGATGTCATTAAGGCAATTCGTGGATGCATCCTGCAACAAATTGTAATCTAATTTTAGAGAAATTGCTTATACTTCACAAGAAACAAACAGAAGTGTTGTTAATGAATAGTAGTGTTTGTCTGCTGAAAATACATTGGTTTCAGCCAATTTCAGCTGAGTGGAACCCTGTGTCGTCGGGACGAGCCATGCTAATGAGTAAATTTCTTAACTGATTAAGGTTGCCAAAGTGATTAATGGATAACTTTAGCATCGAGGTTAAGTTGGCACAGCAAAAACCCCTCGTTTTTGTCCGCACACGTTAAAAGCAAATGGAAATTGTTCTTGGCATAGTCGAAGGACCTGAGTGTCCCTGACTTGCACGGGCTTGTTGTCGACGGTGCCACGCAGTTTTACCAGTTGTTGCAATTAGCGAGGCTACTTTATAATTCAATTGTTCTTTGACACCCATGAAACCCGAGAACAATAAGGCCGATTAAACGGCGACACGTAGAGGTTGACACAACCGCCTACCCGACAACCAGACCAGTGCGGCGGTGTGAGTCAGCGTATTTACACAAAGGTGATGTTTGATTGACAGTCAGACGTGTAGAAAACATGGAAAGTGTCCATAAGTAAGACCTTAAAAAGTAAGTTAGCTGGTTTAACTAGATAGAATAATTCCATATTATTCATTTGGGCAATTGTGGATTCATAAGAGGGGCTTCACAACAGCCATGAAATGATGGAGCCAAAGGCAGCGTTCGATGTCAGAATTTATGAAATTGGAAACGCACCATTTAGGAGCATTTGCTCCGTTTCCACGAAATCATGAAAACAATTGCCTAAATTGCAGAATTATTTTCGTGATATATTTTGTCTCGAATGACTGTGCTCAAAATAACTAATTCCATTTCTTATTCAGCGAACTAAATTTTGGCTACTTTGGCATTTAGTGACACTAATTAAATGCTTCCGTCCTGAATTTCAATGCCACCAATATGAATGGAAACTGCGTTTCATGTCCTCTTTTTACAGGCTACGTTTCTGTGTTTCTATTTCTATCTGATGATAGTAAGTTATAATCGAAAAGTTCTATTTTTAGCAAAAATACCCGGTATTCTGGCCCACTGTCAAGACTGCGCATCCGTCAATGCGATTCGGACCGATTGGATTGGAATTGCGTGAGGTCTATGCTGAAACCGATGAGGAGCCCGGTGCCTTCTTGCTCTCAGTCAAAAAAAGTGGAATGGCGGCTTTCAACCCGGTAAGCGCCAGTAGTAAAAGCGCTTTCTAACTCTTACTCGTATGTTTTTAATGTCAAAACCATTAGGTAATTTAAGAACACATTAAAATCAGGGTTTTAGAAAACTGTGAATTCAAAAGATTAAACAAATAAGCTTGACGGAGCTCTCTTTACCTAACTCCGGAGCTCTCTCGTTCCAAAACCTGTACGGTGATTTTATAATATGCAACGTAATGCTTTCAGGGTCCTTTGATAGGTTCTACTTATGCTAACAGACTCAAATGCTATCAAAGCTCAATGCCTACTAAAAACTCAAGCAACCTTGGGAGACACTGGTCCATTGAATTTTTTAAGCACTGAGATGAAAAGTGAGTGTTGCACATTTAAGCTAACTTTATAGACTAAGTAGTTTGCTTCCTTTTAAGCCCAATCGGCCTTAAGTGGCAAAGCTAACTCGCTAAAGTGTTGCTTGCCTTTGCAATCATTTAAGAAGACATTCTGTTTAAGATGACATTCAAGTATTGAAATTATTGTTAACACGCACGTAGGTAAATGAGAAGATCCGAATACTTTTAAACTAAGAGATGAGTCGAAAGTAACTGGACAGCTGAAAATTCTTAGCCTACCTGAAAAAATTTAGGTCATACGTTGTTAAGTCCAAAGTGCATGAAAATAAAAAAAACGGATCGATCACCGGGTAACTTTTCAAAATGCCGACCTGAAACACAAATGGCACTAAGATTCTTCGCGATAATTTAATGTTGGTTATTACTTGCCCTGCAGATGCATTTTTGTTGATTGACACGTCCGTTTAGGTTAAAAGTTGTTCCACTTCTTCCCACACTCATACGATTGCCTCACGAACCCACTGATTCAATGCAGTAAATATAACTACTGTCTCTTTTTAGTGTTTGATATAGTTTTTCCTAAAATCGGTGTTGAGTCCCGCCTTTTCTGTCTGCTTGAAAGGACACGTTTACCATAAATACATGTTTTCCACTAGTCAGTCATTGATTATTCGTTTCCGCCATTCCTGAAGCAGCTGAAACCGATATTACATAATTGCAAGTTTCCATCTTAACAGCTAAAATAACCCTGATAAATGTGTTAAGATAAGTCGCTTTGGCTAACAATGGTCACATATCGAGAAGACAACCGTCCAATCGTCTGAAGCGCTGCTAGTGAGTTCAAGAATAGGTGTTTGTTGACGGCTCTGGTAAGTCTAGCGCACCTTGTAAAAGGGACTGTAAAAAAACTCATGCATTCTTGTAATGTTTTCCGAGCAGAATTATACGGTTCGTTCACTTGCTTTCTCGGCTAGTTAAATTGAAGTACAATTAAGAAATTTAGGGCTAAAATTCTATTGTTTTAAGTTTTAGTAATGGTGGATTGGAACCGATAATGTATTGTTATATTGCTCTGATGATTATTTAAGTTATAACAAGACAAATGTTAGGCTTTTTTAAGGGAGGGGCACAATTATCATGAGTAGTAAGTAGAGATTTCGAAAAAATCTGAATAGAAAAGTGGTAAATGAAACAGAAATCGATTTTTTTGGTTCATTACAACAAACCAAGGGTTTAATTTAACTCAAGAGTTTTGTGTGAGATTACCCTCTTTCCAGCTCGTTCGTGGCTGTAAATAAGAAATTTTTTTCCATTAAATCGTCGATTATCAATTTGATTCAAGGGCTTAAGTCTACAAAAACAAGGTGGATAAGAGATCAAATGGATCAAAATTGTAATGTGAAAACAAAATGTGATTCAAGTTAATGGAATAGATTTATGAGCGGCATGACTGAGAGGACAATTATCCGACAGTCAAAATTATAAACAGAAACAACTGTATATGTTTCACGCTTGATCTAGCTGGTTTATGCTTTACAAAAGTTGATTCGGGTATTAACCTTAAAATTATGAAAATTATAAACCCTAATTTTTTGTTATCAGCATTTTTTTAAATCGTTACCACCAGAGTTAAAAGAATTCAATGCCAAATGTGTATGAAATAAGGATAAAGTCACTCGGCAAAGTGATGTGTAGAAAAACATCGTTAGTTTACAGCCGACCTCTGCCATGTCACAGCAGCTGAGTGGATCGTTGAGGAAGATTTGTCGCATTTGATTTGAGGTTCTTTTGAATGACTTTTGTGTGGTCGCAAGCACTAAGTCAGTTTTTAGACGTTCCTTTTTAATTATCTTGAATTCGCTAAACTAAAGTCCTGTTGTCGCTATGGTATTTGTCTCTGCAGTTCAAATACGTCGCCTTGGGGATTGCAATGTTATTTTTTCAAATTATTATATTTGTTGATTTAACCAAACTAACAGTCATGTTTTTTTTCAAAGTTCATGCCAAACCGAGCCGAAAATATCAACAGGGATGTATTAATTGTTAACACAAGTAAATGGCCTACCTCTGCAATGGACGAATCTTCATGTGACACTGTCGTACAAATGGCATATCTTGCCAGAAAATGGAATGTAATGACCGACGAAACCAATCCAATTTTGGTTGTAAGCAGGTAAGCAAACAGAAAAGCCTTACAAACACCCCTCTAAGCATAGAATGACTTCGATATTTCAAAAGTGATAATTGCGAAAACTACCGACTGCTAATATTCTGGTCCTGACGAATTCTATCAAAGACCACTATTTCACTAGTATGACAGTGAATTGTCTGTTTACCACGGTAGAAAAGCCCCATGATAAAATTCCAGTTATATGTGAATAGTAAATCATTTGTTATTTATCTTTTTTAATTTGTCAGCTTTAACATGTCTACTTCTGATGTCTTTGTGTAGTCCTGCGTCAAGTGAAATGAAAAAATTGTAGAATGAAGCTGCTTTTATCTTCATAGACTACAACAAATACATGGGCATTATTGGTGGAAGAGTTGTAAACATAGCTAACATTAAGGATGTGACTGCTAACTCATGCTGCAATATTTTAATTAATTGACAGTATTTAATGCTTCATAAATGGTTTTTTTATTGATGCCTTTCTTTGCATATTTGCGTTGAATTTTGTTTCATTGACGATAGCAAACCTTAGTCTGTTTACTTCATCTTACTGCAAGCAGACTAAATCAAGAATTAAGGTCTTAGTGAACTTTATCGATTAAACAGTGAATTCTACCGAGGAGAGCGTAGTCCTCCAGCCCCTTTAGTGTTCAAAATACACTTTTTGTGGATTCCTAGCAATTTCTTAATAGCTAAACTTATGTCTTGTGTACTTGTCACCTCATTGAGCCAGATACTGGTGATTTTAGTAGGCCTTGAGATTAGTCTGATCCCATTCAAATCTTTCTTGTCATTGAATGATATGTCACTAGAATGACCTCTACTTTCACCAACTGATGGCTAAATGCGGCCTAATGTTGCCCCATTTTCTGTTTGACAGTGACGGAGTGTCGCGTGCAGGGGTGTTCTGTGCGATAAGCATCTGCATGGAACGAATTTTGGCGCAATCCGAAGTGGACGTTTTTCGTGCCGTCGAAATAGTCAAACAGAATCGCCCACAGCTTGTCCCCGATTTGGTAGATTCAGTTTAAAATTATTGTTTTGTTTGTCCTTGTCAGCGCATCACTTTTATGCTCAAAATCTCGTCTTTTGTTATACTTTGCATGCATGACATCGCCATAATTTTCGCCTATATAAAAAATCTTCTGGCTGTCAAAACATTGCTAAAGAGTGCGTGATTTCGCTTGGTATTACGTGGAATTATAAATGACACTTGCTGCCACATTCTGTGGTATTTTGTTACCTTACCCGAACTGAAACAAACTTAGGCACTTCGAAAATTTGAATACCACAGGAGACCAAAACTGAAGCATTGAATTTCATGAACGTTATAGAGGACCTAGATTTTTTTACTGAGGCCAAAGTAAATTATTATTCCTTTTTGTATAAATTAAAGCCCTTGAAATTTCGCCAGGGCGTGTTCAAATTTATGACTTCATTTCTCTAATTTAAAATTAATCTAACCGCTAAGATAGATTCAGCATTCATCATTTTGTAACAGTTTTAGAGGAGCGTTACAGCCCAGGTGTACGTTAAGACTCATAGGACCCAAGATCAAAGAGAAGGATGAGAGGGCCACACAATAAAGTGGGCAAAACCGTTAGTTATACGCCAGACATGATGCATCAATGTACGTGTGCATAAGAATGTGTAGGCCAAACGACCTATGTGACATGGCCTAACCGAGGAAGAAGAAGACTATTGTTAATATAGAGCTCGGCCAATTTATTGTCACAGTAAAGGCGTGGTCTTTTGCTTGAAAAAAGGCAGCGATTTCTAAACAAACGCTTTACAACGATCCTTGAACGAATACGGCTACGGAAGTGCTTCCAAGAAAATCAATTCGATACCTATTAGCGCATACTTGGTAATAATGCTCATGCTAATCACCATCGTTACTTGAAGTGAACGCAAGGTAACCGATTGGATTCACGTTTACTCGCGTCTGGAATGATTGTTCTCATGTCGATCGCCTCAAGTGTTGATTAAGCACGTGCGAATAGCCGTCAATGTCGGGTCAGGCGCACTGACACCAATCAGCTTGAGGTGAGCATGTCCGGTCAAGCACCCAAACATTCTTCATCATTCCACTGCATTCTTGCGCTTTCGAGTCATTATAATGGACGCTGAAAAACAGGCCTAGTAACTACAAATTTTTCGGTCGAAATGAGCTTTAACTGTTCCAAATATTTAGTCCTAAACCTTCAAAAGTTATGAATTTGTAAAATACATACTTATCTTTTGTTGCATTAAACTTTTAGACTTCCCAAAATGTCCATCTAGGGTCCGCCAAATATTCATACATACCTATATGTAAAGAAATACAGGAAATTCGGCTTTGCCGACATAATATATTGTACTTTGGCATATCATATTTGATAAGTGTTAAAAGTATTCTGCTAGATGCCAGAAAAATAAAGCACACTGGTCTTAGTGACCTTGTACTTTGAAAATTGTATTTTTCGTCCGTTACTTGTAGCTCTATAAAATCGAGCTTACTAAGCGAATTTCCACCCGATTACGAACATTATGAGATACTTCGGTTTCGTGTTTGCACTTTGCTGCAAGCATTTACTGGGTATTACCCGAATGGCAATGTGATTAACCAGGTCTGTAATCCTCATTTACGCAAATTGTTGTTACGTTTTGCTTCGCGCCCTGCAATCCACTGAACGTTTAAACTTACTGAAACTTAGCAAGAAAAATGCTTGTTAGTTGCTAAAGTAACATTACCTCGAACAGGCTGTTTAAATGTAGGTTCATGCGATTATGCTTGACATCTTTGCATTGTATCTGTCGCACTTAATTTTTGATGCAAGCAATGCACAATGTTAGATTAATAAAAGAAATTAATGCATGGAAGAAGAGGTCAAATTCTTGCAATTTGTCATCATTTTGTGTTTAATGTTTTATTCACTTAACCAAATCTTGACTGGCTGCATTTATTTAACCTTCAGTAAAGCGTTGTATTTGAGTATGTTTTGAATGCGACATGCGTCTGAATTTAAACATTATTTTTTAAACAAAAGTGCCCAATTAAATAATTATTGTTTACTTGTTTAAAAGGTCATAAACCCACAATTAAATTGACATTAAACTTCATGATGTATGGGTTTTTTTAGTTGTGAGAGTTTTATAAGCACCTATCGGTGGTATTGTGGTTGTAATCTTCATCTTGCCAACAATTAAAAATAAAATAATTGTTGTCATTCAAGGTGTCGTTTCCGATTTTCTCATCAGTGTACGTTTTGCCAAATTGAAGATACTATTTAACATAACTACGCATATTCCCCTATGAAACCACGCCTTTTTTATTGTGTATTACGCCTGACGGTCACGTGCTTTTTTAACTCATCTCAATAGGAAACACCCATTCTGACAAATATATTTCTTCATTTTTTCAGCAAAGTACTGCTTAAACTGAATCTCAAACTTTCTGGATTATTATCACACAGATGAGATTTATGCGTTAAAAGCGTTAAGAATTAAATAAAATGTCACAGTATTAAAAGATTCAACTTTCAGTGAAAATAATATGCTCCAGCAAACACATTTTAGCGCAAAATGGAGCCTAACAAAATTGTAAACCATTACTTCATTTTAGTTTCTGTAATTATGAGATTAACACCTCTGCCTCCCTATATGTACGTTTTTTGGTGTAGTTTCACGTATCATCTAGAGGCAATAATTGAAATCAGCCCTGGTTTTGTCGATTTCCCAGACTTTATCTAAAGAGGCTATTAGCCCCAGCACTTTAACTATCGCCATCCTCAAAACACTTGAGCAATACTCAGCTTTGTAAACGTTGTATTTTATCATTTTTTGCTTTGTCCATTGTAGTAAATTTTAGGTAATATTATCTAGAGGCCCTTTCTCATAGACCAAATTTTGACTCACTTAATATTTCTTTCATAAATATTACTTGTCTTAACTTCCTGAGTCAATAAAAATTAAATTTGAAACCAAGTAGATTATTATTAATTTCTGAGTGGACTGAGATAAATTATGTTTCCTAATGCCATTTTAGATAGAATACAAGCAGTGCTACAACTGCGTAATTCGAATGGCCAGCCTGCTTGATGATCAAATTAAGGCCAACGAGTGCGAGAGAAGTAAAGATCCCATTGAAATTTTTGACGAACTCGACCGTAAACGCGCAGTCGGTGAACTTAGACCCGAGCTTATTGACACTGCGGACCAGTCGTTTAAGCAGACACCGAACCCCGCTTCAAGAACCCAGTTGTTCTCACCAAAGAAATTGCCTCCTCCTTCTACCCCTGCCTATCCCACGCCCACCACGTCTCCCAAGCTTGTGGCAAATGACTTACCCAAGCACAGCATGCCCACAATCTACAGAAACCAAACCCCACGACGCCTTCCCGCGGTGACCGAAAGGTGTGAACGCCACTTGCCAAATTTATCCCAAACTCGAAGGAGGTTTGCATGTCAATCTCAGGCATCTGTCCCTACCCTACGCTCACACAGGATCCTTCCGACTACCGCACGAAGGAGATTGCCAACTCTAAATTCGATCATTGAGAACCCCCTAACCAGTCCCCCCTCAAATCGTACTAAGAAGGTGCTTCCGCCTATTGTTAACAGTTATACCAGAGACGAGTTCGCGCAACCAGTCTCCGACCAATTTAAAACCCAGATTAGGTGCAATGGCAGTAGAGGTACTGGGAACGATTTAGTGGCTTTACGAAAACCTCTAGTTCGGACTGAAACTGAAACCACCTACCTGACTTCACTCTTCGGCTAGACCCACTTGGTCACTTGATCCAGAATCCTACCACATTGCTGATTTTTTTTGAATTCGATGCACTCGTATCTAGGTTTTCACCTTGCGTATGAAAGTTTATATAAATGAGAGCTTTTCATGTGTGCGCTTACAGCAAAATATTGTTCATTTACATCCTCCTTATCTCAATCCTATTTTTGTAATTATATATGTATTAAGTTAGACAAACAGAGACGCACAAGTGCTTCGGTGTCTCGCTCAACAGCCGAAAGTAACTGCAGTGTTATCGTGTTATCTATGCACACCCCAACACTTTCGCTTCCCCAGACCCAACTGTACAAATGACCTTAAAACAAGTTGAATAAAATTAGGTTAATTTTGTATTACAGATATTTCTTAGACTGTTTTGTTACTGGGATGGGAATTGAAGGAATAGCAGATTGTGATGCCTCTCAGAATTAATGCAAATAAATCGTGTTAAAATGACTGCTTTGGTACATCCCCAGGTGGACAATATAGTGGCTCTCTATTTCCTATTTAATGATCCTTATATATTTGAAGCAATTAATCAAACCAGGCAAGTAGGTGTTCACGTCTGTTCACCTCATGGCAATTCGTGAAACGTGGGTCACCAACCCCGTGTGTCCTCACCACTACCGGCCACATTTATGGGGATTGGGTATGCTTGGTGCTAGGGTCCGGAATAAACTCATGTGAAAAGTCCGAAGTGGCTAATACTAGTTGATTCACCGTGCGTTTGCCTCATCCAAAGCACGACTTTGAAGTACACGATGGCAACTTTGTGTATCAAGGGGTGGCGGCCATTTCCATTTACCTATTTCATAGCACACCTGAAGTTGAGTAAGCAACGAGCGAATAAAAGACGACATTGCTTATCGTTGCTTCAAGTTTAGCGGCTCTCAAGTAACATTTGCGCGCAATGTCCATGCTTTCATTTCCGTAGCTACGGCTCATTTGCTTTTAAAAATTCCCATACACTTTTGACATCGGAAACAAATCCCTACAAAAGACCCACCGGCTTACATTTTTAATCTGTTTCCCACTGTTTTAACTACTGAAGCTTAACAACAATTCTTCACTTTACTTGAAAAGGAATTAGTCACTTTTAGGACATTCGCACCCCCTTCTGCTCTTGTAAGCGGATGGCAAATTTCCCTCGTTCGTGATTTGTTAAAAGTGTCATTTTCTAACGACGTGCAAAAATTAATCAAGCTGGACATTCACAAGAAATTCGCCAATTTTCTCTAGGGCCTGTTTTTTTTTGAAGTGGACTTCTCCAACGAGAAACAAGCCACGGTTGTATTGAACATTTGCTTTCCGTGAATTTGTATATGATTGAATTCCAAAACTAAATTTTAAGTCATGATTTAAAGTCACTCGCCGTTAACCCTAAATTGGACAATTTTTCAGAAGTACGGGTCTGGTATGGATTGTTGCTGGATGCCTTTTTTTTAAACACCGATGGGTTATCTTCGTTTAGGGGCATTAGGTGCCTTCACTCTAACACTGTGCTTCCTCATTAAATAAAATGTCATTGAAAACCTGAAATATTCTGTTCTTTTGACTCTAAACTACCCGAATATAACGCTGATTGATGTTATAAATACTTTACAAGCTTAATCGGTTAGATATGTGTTATATCACAATGGGAGGCAGAGTGGATTACTGCTTGCTTCATATTTGTTTAAATACCAAGGAAAAATACATCTTTTTTCCTAGCTCGATTCTCCCAATGGTAAGATTGACGAGTAACATGTACTCAAACACAATAGTTTTAGCGATTTTAACCGCATTCCTTGTTTCGTTGACATTCATTTACACGTGTCCAAGTAAATTGACCTTACATTAAATGTGGTCCAGACTCTACACCTATAAAATGTTTCTTTTCTCTGAATCCAGGAAAAGAAACATTTTAGGTCAGGAGCACTGAGAAGATGTATACACTAAAATTAATATTTAACAAAAGCAAATTAAAGCGAGTGCAAACTCAGGGAACAAATTATTTGTGGTTTAAACATTAAAAGCAACCCAATTGATTAATTTTCATCATCGAAAGCAGTATTTTGCCAACTTTAATATCACTCTGCAAACTACCCCAAATATCTGCTTTCGTGTGATCTAGTTACGTGTAGCAGCAATGACCTGATTTAAATCGTAAAATTTTTTAATTGTCTAGAAGTTGCATGCCATCATATGCGCCCATTAAAACCAATGCACTGCATGAAGTTGAAATTGTAAATGTTGCGACAAGACGAAGCATGACAAATGACGCAAATTACAAAAATATTTTCATTTATTTGATTTTACCATTTCCTTAAACTATTATTACAATCATGAATAAGTTTTGCAAGGAAGTCCTTTTTTAACTAATCAAATTATGAGAGTGCACCTCCAGAGCTATGCACCGTACCGATTAAATATTAAATGCCTTCGTTATGTCGGGTATTTCTTTCTTGGCAAAATGTTGCCTTCTAGCATATTTAAGACAATCAATTTGTGGTCCTCAATGAGATATTTGCTCCACAGGCTCCGTAATTAAATAAATCAAATTTAACTTACCTAAGACCAAACGGAGATAGACTAGGCACTTCGTGAAAAGGTGTTCGCATCTTCGTAATCGAAGGATTTAAAATTTTATGCGCTCTTTGGTTGACAATCCACCCTTTTTGACGCGTGCGTCAGCTTCGAGGTAATACCCATTTTCGCCAACTCGACGGCGCAAGCAGTAGATGAGTTGACTCAATCTCCTGACTCCATGGCACTTGTATGCGCCACTAGCCTCTCTCCCTACACACCTCACATTTACTCCCAATCTGTCAGGCTGGCTAATTAGGTTCATTATTTGGCTTAATTTATTTATTCGAACAGTGGTAAGAATGTATTACCTTTGTAGACAGTATTGATAGCCATTAATTCTGCTTAGCCAGTTTCTCAAACTTTTGTGTTTGGATGAAAAATATGGTTTTTTGGCATGCGGTAAAAGCCGCAGAGGTAACAACTTAAAGTGGTGCTGATGCACTGATCAGGAAGTCGAAACTCGTTTTTGGCATGACAGCGTTTTTGTTGCCTAAGGCTAGAATAAAGCATTGCTTTCAAAGAAATTAAACCGACCACTTGAAATTACATTATTTAGTGAGGAAAGGAGCGCCTCGCAGTGGTGTGTGTTCAGTGTACCTTATCGACTTCTGTTAGTTCAGTCGGATGACTGAGTGAATGTTACTTTTTTCTCCCAAATTTCTTTCTTTTCTGAAGATATGTATTTGCACCTTCTAGTTTGGAAATGTACCAGTGAAACGTAAAGCTAGGAAATGGTCTTGACACATTGATTTTATGGGATGGTGCTGTGTTGTTAGTGCTAGACGCAATCTGCTGCGACACAATGCTTGACATACTACCCCATATATGTATTTGTCAAGGTAGACAAATATTATCTGTCAGCACGGTTAGGTGTAGCGAAGCTAACAAGTTTAACAAAACTGTTACCTGAGCATAACTTGACCATCTATTACCCAACATTGGCTGCCTAGATGCAAATAGATATTTAAGCCCATTGGGCTGCTACCCTTTACCCTACTATACTTCATATGACGTAGTAGCATGGTAAACATGTTTGGTAATATATGCAATCACCTAAGGCCTTGGTTCGTGTTTAACCAAAAGCAGGTTTTTTTTAAATCTTAATAAAAATTATGAAAAGCCCATTTGCCGTGGGAGTTAAGAATTTTTTTTAGGCTTACAGAAAAAGACTTTCACAGTGGGAACGAATAATTAAATAGGATGTTTTGCGAAAGTTTCAAATCCCAACACTCATTTAGGCGTCTTTCTAAAAACACCAGTGACTTTTTTGTAAACATACAATTTAGTTGACATTGCTTGTCCAAAACTTCGTAATGCACGCAAGTTTAAACTGTCTAAAGTCAGTTATTTCGGGCTACCATTCAGTCATTTAGCCTTAAGCCTTGACTGTGCATTGACGAACCATGAAATATTATTTTCGAAAATTAAAAACTATCATTGATAGGTACCATGAGGTATTTGAGCATATGGCCGCCAAGTCAGCTATCTCTCCAACCATTCCCCAATAGAATCTCTGTCGCCATTGACAACACTATAAAACCAACTTTATACTTCCTAGACACTTATGGCCGTTATTTTTCTAGTAAACAGTACGTGGAATCGCATAAATAGTAATTTTGTGCTGGGCTTACATGGTTGTCAGGGGATTGCGTGGAATTCGGTTGACTTCACTCTGGAGTACTGAGCCAGCCATCTTTACTTGGATGCAGCTTGTGGTTCCTAATTCAATTTGGAGTAACTGTGCAGTTCCCGTAGAGAGTAAACGTACTTGGATTTAGGCAAAGTATCCAAGTAAGAAGTCAAGTCGACTGGTCAAAATCGTGTTTAGCTAATCTTAGACCCTTCTTCCGAAACGTTTACCAAAACGCAGTCTTGTGGATCCGGAAGGCATTCATTTAACCATTTGCTTAAGGATCAGTATCTTCAACTACCCGATAGCCCAGTGTGACACAAGATGCAGTAAATCAGAGTTATGAGTACAAACAAATTAAAACAGCTCAACGTTTGATTTCAAGGATGAGGGGGTGGTTCAATAATAGACTGCTGACTAGGACTTGAGCCTGTGAGGGGGTATTTAAAAGATCATAGTTTGAAATCCCGAAGCTAGTCACGCGATTATTTGTTTTCTCTTTGGGATTTGACTCGAGGCGGTACTTTGACACCAGTAGTGGGAAACAGAAAAAGAATAAGGCAAATGCGCTAGAGCTTGACAATTCAAGTCAAAAATCATTGGGCACAATACCAGGCTTGTGATCCTCTATCGGTTACTTTAGATCTTGCCTTCAAACTTTCCGGTAATTCTACATGCTGAGAAACGCAAATTCAAAAAGTCCATTTGTGGGAGAGTCTGAATTTGCTTTTGAGTGCTTAAGCAAAATTGAACAGTGAGCAAGTCAGCCACTGCTGGATTTGCCTGATTTCACGTCAGAGCACATGATGATCAAAGTTAGCCGACTAAACATCGCTGTGCTGAGCTGGCACATCACAACTCTTTGGTAGTACGTGGACTGTTGATTTCAATTTAAATTATTAGTTTGAACTATCTGCGCATAGCTAATAGACCATCTATCAATACCATGACTAAAATGGCCAATTAAAGTAAGGTGTTTACCACCTAAATCGCTGACCATGGTAACGAACTGGACGTATAGGCTAATTCTCGTTTCCATCGTTAATGAATCCCTGTTAGAAGCGATTCGTTTCACATGCAATAAAGTCGCACCCTTTGAGAGTAATTTTGAACTGGGATCGAATTAATGGCGCTCATGCATTGGTAATATGCTCTAATCATTGATCGTTCCCGAGTTAAATGAAGGATATCATAAGGCACAATATGTATGGACAAACAGGTATTATGCACCATTTAGTGCTTAGGCTAGATTGTTTAAAGTAGATTTTCAAAATATTTTTCTTCGGAATTTTGAGCAATTTGAACAATTGTTTTGTTTGAATTTATACATTTTTATCATTATCAACAAGTTGCATCACCATGCTCCGATTTGTCTTTATGCCCGTCGTCTGGAAAACTAAACATTTGTGATACTAAGAGGAAAGGTTTGGTTGCAAGTCAAGTAAAATAATGATTTTTGAAATCCAATTATTTTCCCCTCGAATGGGCATGGCTTGAATGTTTTTAGTTGTTCAAATGTAGTGATTTTGAACCCCATTCCTTATTATTTTTAATTTTCACCTACATTATTCGGACCAAAACTCGTTCTGTCGGTTAAAATTTGTCGAAAATAGTCGGGTGGTTAGCGATACAAAAAATACTGCGTTATATTGCTATGAATTCTGCGTCGGTTCGAATTACATCAGAAAAATGATAATCATTACTATTTTCAAGCCTTTAATAGATTTTAAATTACGCTCAAATCATGAACTAGATTGTCAAATACTCCAAAACACATTAAATTTTCGCAAGGCGAATTCATCAGATGTAACGGCTATTGTTTGTTTGATTTAGACAAAATTTTAGGCAGAAATGTTCAAATTTAATATAAGTTACTAAGAAATAGTTTTGTATTATATCGATCTTGATTAAATGTTATTTTCGAGTGTTCATCTGTGACCAATTGTTAGATTTTGTAAAATGATTGACTTAGCAGTTTCCACACTGATAACTCAAGTACTGACCAACCCACTTCAGGACATTGACTTAACCTAATAAGATTAATCCTGTGGACTCGCATTTGTTGTTCAAAAACTTCACAAATGTATCAAGAACACTAATTGGGAAGCAAAAAGAACTTAAAATTTCAAAATACTGAAAGATGAGCATTGCCTTTGTTATATATGTAAACCACTAAGTTGAAATTTGAATTTTTTGCCAAATTATCAGACAACATTGATCACAACTGTGCATTATTTTACAAGATGGTTTGTGTTTCGCCTCTCAGAAGATAGTTAAAGAGGCAAGCAACGTATCATTGCAAATTTTATGAGAGTACTGTCTAATTTCTCACAGTAAAATATTTTAATGGCCAAAATAGACCATCGTATTCATGTAATGCAACATGTAGATTTTCAAAAACCCAGGTTGTGGCTCCATGAAGAAAATGAGAATTTCACTAGCTTCTTCGAATAGAAAAAAAGGCCTTTTTAGTACTTTTCAAGCTGTAGTATTAAACATTTGCATGATAAAAGTAATTTTGTAGCCTACAAATTAACAAGTGGCATAAAATAATCAATATTTTGAAATCAATAATGATCTAATGCAGTGAAAAACTGAGAATTTGTTATTACCGATGTGGAAAAAAATATTAGTAAAATGAAATTAGAGGCTAGATTATCTGAGCGTTAATTAAATGCTCCAGAACAAAACAAAAACCAAACCTCAAATTTGACTTCTGTTTAATATAATCTAGGAAGCAGAGGAGCCATTAAAAAGTTTATGACAGCCCTGGAATATTAGTCCTATCTCCACTGAGGTGAAGCTCAATCACAGTTCTTGAAAGTTAGGTTCGTAATCCAATAACCACGGTGTATTTACATTGAATTTGAAGGCGCAAGTGTGGCAGTTTGTGCAAGAAGAAGGACAAGCATTTATATCTCAATGAACTTGTTAAACTTATTTTTAAGCATCTGAGAAATTAGGAGCATAGTAAGCTCGCAAACAGACTTTAAAAATGTTTTTATATAAGGAATCCCTTTAAGCTAATGTTGCAGATGTACAATTTTTATATTTATCTGCTTAGGATTTGATTATAAAAACGACTCAGCAATGTAAAATTTTAAAAATAACTCTCAAAGAGTACCCTCATTTCAATTAAACATAACTGTGCTAGTGTTATTTATGGCGTTACTCATTGGGATCAAGTTGCAAAATAAAAAACTACTGTTCCAAAATGTGCTATTTGACTCACATACGGCGGGTGAAATCAGACTAAATCGCTCCATAATAAATGAATTTATTTACTTAAGCTGATAATTTTCGTGACCATACAACTTCAAGAATTACCCAATTTTATTCATTGGGATCACTTACTATATTCTTTGAATTGAACAAATTCAAAGTATTCCACTTAACACTATAAGGGATAATGTTTTAATAAGTCCAAGAGGCTTGATGTATGATACATCACTTCAAAAAAGTTGATCCATCGACCGATAATAATGAATTAAATAGTAAAGATTAACAAAATAAATAAACAATAATTAAAAATATTTTCTGTTGCTTTTTTGTAATTTTTCGCGAAGTTCGTAGACGGTGGAACCTTAACCAGGCCGATATTGATGGAGCATTTCTGTACAGACACTACTATACATGAGCGAAAATGTGTATAGTCCTGTTATTAACGTAAATATCTTCAGGTGCTTCTCATTTTGAGTGAGTTCAGCAAAGTTCATATTTGGACATGATTAGTGAACTGCCATAAATTCCTAAATCTGAATGGTTAACTACAACTTGTTTTGACCGCCGACATTCGTCAAGGGCGTTTTGCTGTTTTCTCGAATTCTTGGATTGCTGATCTGGTTTCATTTGTTTATACCTGAGGTTATTGCGCTTGTTCCCATCCTTCCTTATTTGCGGCAATAAAATTTTTTTATTTTACTGATGCACCTATCTTTACTCAGCTTAATCGGGACTAATAATGGCTCCTAAAGTGCACGTGAATGCAAAAAGGTTTTATTTAAATTTTATGATTTACGCTCATTTCGTTTTGACCATCGGTTACCTGCTTACATTGCTTAACTTGAGATGCTTTAAACTTAGATATTTTCCCACAAACGCGTTACCAAACTTGACGAATCAACTGTTATAGTACTTCTTTTTTAGGCCTACTTTCTAATCTGTCCATTTAAATGTCAACTGGTTCATTCTCTCAAAACTGATTATAAAACTATCATTATTTAAACTTAAAATATCTGGCTGAAACGAACGAGTTCTTATAAGCACACAGTATAGTTTTAGCTTGTCGAAACCTCGACGATCAATGTGGTCGAATGTCATAGCCTTTGTTGTTTTGACCACTCACATATTCCTCCGCTGTTCAGACACAGCTTAAATAGTGTAGATGGTAGAATAGTCTGTTCAATTGTTACATTACTTGCTCCTTTAGAACTGTATAGCCCGTAGCCTGCATCGATATCTTGCCTTGAATTTGCCAATCGTTTTCGTCGCAGAATGCCAGCAAACTACCCTTCAGATGAAGAGTTGGTTCAAATGACAACAATTCAACTTCGGAATCTTCTTGAAAAACAGGTCATTTCTCAAGAACAGCATCGTGAACTTCGTACCCGACGTCGACGTTTGCAAAATCGCAAATACGCTCGTCGTTGCGCCAAAAAGAAGCAAACTGAAGTTGCTGAATTAGCGGCTGCGGCCAAAAAAGAATCTTCAGCCATCAGGGCGAGTACTTTTTTTCGTTTATATAAAACGAAATGTAGCTTGAATTTTAACTTCTTTGTCTGTCATCATTTCACATTCGGCGTCGATCGGTTAACAATTTACGTTCATTATTAGTTATCCTGCTTAAGCTTTTTTCTAGCACTTCATTAGGTTAAAACTTCATAGACGTTCGACTAGGTCAAATGCTCTCTATTTATAAGTATACTTAGGTTTTACAGCATAGATTGTAATCTTTTACTCATTTTCGTCGTGATCTCGTGTTGTACTGAGGTCATTGTCTTGATGGCCCACCGATTGGTAGATTCCTTAGGTAAAATCTTTTGGTCTGAACATCATATAGTGCCAAAATATTGTCGTCTTAGTTATGTTGACATTTAGGAAGGTCAACCAACTTTGTTACAATTTCTATTATGCAGTAAAGTACATAGCGATCAGTTAAACACCACCTTTGTTGGTTATAAACAGCTAAATTAATTATGAAAATAGTGGTTTCCCAAATAACTTTGTACCCCTCTACCTTTAGATTTTTCTCACACTGCTTTAGGTTGATTAACAATTTTTTTGCGAAACATAATCAGTCGGCCTTTGATAATTACCCACTAATGTGTTGGTAGCCCACTCTTCCATTTGATGGGTTGCCTTTTCACATAGTTGGTTGTGTTTACCGGTCTACAGCATCCTATTTTTCATTTGTCGAGGTCTATGTCATCGACTCCGTCAATTTCTTCGATTTTTACCCACCTCGTGTTAAACGACGTCAATGAATGGCGTGGGTCTAATGGAACATCGACATTCGTCGCCATTTTCCGTTGCGCTTTTAATCCCGAATAAAGCGTTATGAGTCTTAAGAAATTATGCTCCGCTAATTTGATCGTCGTGACTTGTGTTCTTACTTCCATCGCCGTTTGTTCTTACTCTTTTCACAAGATTTAACTTACATCGGCGAATAATTTAATGCAATGTAGCTCGTTTTATGCCTGAGGTCATATTCCAGTGTGCCTCCTTTTCGATCTCTAGTATGGACCACGCAATTCTTCAGTTGCCAGCACTTATGGTAATCTTATAATGTATTGGATTTTTTTTCGAAAAAAGTTCACCTCTGTTTATGTCCTTAAAAAATACTCCCGGTGCACATTTTTTACATTCCTGGAGTAATTCTACACTTCCTTGTCTTTAATACTTTAAATACTTCCCAACTAACTATGTTAGAAATCAAAGCTTATAAATGCAAAGCGGTTGGCCGCAATAATGGCTCTTGTACATTGCTTGGGTAAATACTTAGTACTCTTGTTGCTGAAATCAATCGCGTCCATCTGAAACAACCGCCAACGTAGTTCTTCCAGAGGGCTTGACCTCTTTGATCTATTATTTACCACATTCTCTGCTGCTCCTAAACTTGACACCACTCCACATTCAATTCTGCGAAGAGATGAAAAAACTCCCATGAGTTTGCCTTGTCAATCAAGGAATGTACTGGACCTGGCCAGGACCTTGGGCTGTGATTAGCTATCCTGGTTTCATTTGTGGATGGTCGGTTTGCTTTCTCCGAGTCGGAATTTGTGCAAAGACCTAAACTTATTTGCTAGCTTCTCATGTAGTAATTTTAATCCTGGCGTAGCTTTTCTTACGGGTTCCAACGTTTAAGATTGTCCTGGAATTCCCTTAACCCCAAGTAGTTCTGATGCCAGATCGGGCACGGGTTTTGTTGCATCAGATATGGCTAAAGATGCAACAACTTTACACAGCGCTTGTGAACATGCTATCCTAAGACTTCAAGCATCAGCAAAAAATGAAAAATTAACACGGCAAATGGGTGGGTGTATATAGATCATTGTGTATTGGCCCGTCACGGAGCGCTGCCCATGGAGTGATCAAATTCGTGGTGACGCTTAACGGGACCTCCAGACCAGTTGAATGAAAGGCGGATAAAAATAACAAGACATGTTAGCTCTGGAGTGTCGTGAGGACCTGTCTTCGTGTCAGGAGTCAATTAGTTTTTAGGTATTGTCAGTCCAGTATGTGTGCAAGTTGTTTGGATAAACTTGCGTTTTTCACTTGTTAGTTACGAACCTCCTAAGATCCTCCAATTTATTATTTTGTGTGATTTTTTTCTTTCACATTATTTATTTCTAGTCCTTGCGGCAACAGCTTTCGAGATTGACCACGTCTGTGGACAGAATCGACCGTCAGATTGAGAACTTGGCAAAGCTTCGTATCTCCATGTCGGAGGCCCCATTTTCCCTTCGAATGCTTGCCTCAGACGGCACCGAGCTCGGGCTGGCCCATTTCATTTGCCGAGGGACCGCAGCCTCTATGTCGCTGTTTGGGGAGGGCGAAAGTCCTAGGCGGTCAGCATCGCGTGGTTTTTGCAGCCCACAATCGCCCTCGCCACGAACACCCTGTCTGTCTGACACAACTCTAGTTCTCGTACCCCCAGCCGGCGGTGGAGTCAAACATTTCGTTCGGAGTACTATGTCTGGCTAATTGCTGGAAGCGCTTCTTTTCGTTATCATTTCATTTGCCTTTTTGACCCTTGATTTATGCATATGTGTTAACGCTAATATTTGCTTGTATGTTTATTATACTCTATCTTTGTTGTTTTCTACTTTTTCTAGCAGTTGAGGCACCTGTGCAGTTACTCGTCTAGTTGCCTGGTTAAAAACCGGAATTAGGTCTATCCAGTACCTTAAGTTCGCTTGCCAAATTATTGAATAGCTTCACATCTTTGTGTTCCCATTGCCACCTTTTACGGGATTCAGTATTGTTGGGATTCGTTGCTCTAGACATATTCTCGCATGCAGCTGGAATTTTTCATATTGTCACTATATTGTTTGTGTAACCAGTCAGGTTTCTTCAATTGTATTCAAGTGTGGCAGCATGTGAGATAAAAGTGTGCGTATAGCTATATTTCTGAAGACGAAAGTGTTTATTATTATAGGAACTTGTTCAGGTCGTCCTAAGGCCAATTGCATGCAGGCACTGACAGGTCAGTTTTAGTTGTTAATATCGGTGAATACATGCTAGCCAAAGTGTGGTTATTTTAGGCGGTCAATTTTAACAGGTGGTATTTTCAGTGAGGATGTCTGTGTTTAGTTGGCGTCGAAGGTGCTGAAAAGGACCAGTTGAGGGTTCGGATGTCTTTACGCCTTTTCTCCGTCCCTACAATCGGATTTTATAGTGCAGTGTTTAAAAAAGTAAAGCCAAGTAGCCGCTGTGATCACGCCACGCCTTCTCTGCTTTGAACAATCCTTCAAATTAGCATGGTGAACCGTTCACGGGTCGAGCATTCAATTGTGTAGAATGACTCACCTCTAGTATTTAGAAGACAGTTCTAGCAAGCTTTATTGATACACCAGAGTCTAGGGCATTCGCCCCCATTACAGTAGTGTGCCTCATCTGCCTCTGACTGGCCGCTTATCTTTCTCATAGCAAATTAAGTGACCAAGACAGTGTTAACTGAATTTTTGGATTTTTCCAATATGACTGCGCCAAATATTCCGGTCTTAACGAGCCACCACGCTGTTTCAAGCACAAGATGGATGCTGCCTTCAGCCACCTCGCTTGTCTCATCGGATTGGTTTTGGACATGGTTTGGCATGCAGGACGCTTTTAGCAGCACATTACAAATTTCTTAATGCTGAGAAGACGGGTTTTAGTAGAACGATGCAATATAGAAATCAAATAGCATTTCTCATTAATTTTAATGAGAAGAACCATCTTTGAGCCAACTGAACGGGAGTCCTATTTCAACTTCTTCCCTGTCATAGTTGTCTTTGATGTTAGTGTGATATGCCAATCCTTGTTGCAGCCAAGTTACTGCACTTCAGAGGCTGCATTCAAAGTTCCCTTACACAGACGACATTTTGGAGTTTTCGGGTCTTATAGGAGGCAGTTTGGCGACTTGGCCTGGAAAGAGTCATTTTCCTCCCATAGACATCAAGGCGAGAAAATAATCCCCTTGAATGAGTGTCCTGTCAAATGAAATACAAACGGATGAATCGGAACTTGGGCCTTCCATTGCAATATAGTTGCAGCGAAATTTAAATATTGTGACTTATTCCTCTTGCCCGTTATCCCTTTGAAAATACGCAGCTCATAAATGCCTGTGGGTATCCAAAATTGCAAAAATATGGAACTTAGGCATTTTCGAGCTGACTGCAATGGTAAGGACCCAACGTTAGACCAGCAGATTAAATACGAACTCGTGTGGTGACGCACTAGGGTGCAGATATATTGGACTTCGTAGAGCTCAGCAAACCCGTTGACTCTGTGCGTTTGAATGGCGTGAGAGGGAGATCTGCAGCCACCAATAGACAAGGACGGATGAGAAACAGTATATAATGAGTGACGCAGCTAGTACGATGGATTTAAATGGACGCTGTGTGACGTACGGTCCTGGCTTGTGCTTTGTCAATTAGGCTTGTTCTGTGGTGTCAAGCTTCTTCATATTAGAACTCCAGTATTCTAAACTCGTGCGACAGCCTTTCATATTGAGAACACGACTATCCAAATGGTTATCTCATATACCTTGAAAAATAGGTAGCACTTCTTAACCCTAACCCATTTAACTATCAATATGCTTTGTAAAAAAAACTACGCAAGCATCTTCGGTGGGTGACTCACTCATTGACAGATGAATCGTGTTTTCGGTGCATTCATAGAGCTATTACAGTACCTAGAAATCGAACTTGCATAAAATAAAAGTTACTTAGCGATGATGCTTTCTATGTCTAAAAAACAGCACAAATATCAAAAGGCTGGCTTGTTGGATTGCGAAAAATCAACTTCCTGGTAGATAGTGTTTACAGTGCTGCAGGAATAATATTTAGACTTCAACCATTGCTTTGTCTTGCTGCATATTCGTTAGCATGTTACTGTGAGAAAAAGATTTTTAATCAAATGTGGGAAATTAAAGCAATGTCTCTGCCAGAAAAAGAGATTTCTGCTCCCAGCACGCTAACATTCATTGGTTGATTTTTAGGTTTTTCTCATTTAGCTTGGAATAAGATAGGCCAGATTCTAGCACTTGCTTTTCTTAGTGACGTCTAAATATTACTCTATAAAATGGAAACAGTCTAAAGAACCATACTGTTTCCCTTAAAAGCGAACATATATCCATATTAAGTCAATGACCTCGAAGGATATTTGTTCTCCTTGCAGTTCCAAGGCTCCTAAATTTTACGGTTGTACCTCTATAGAACGTAAAAAAGTAGTTATCTACATTAGGCATTTATTGAACAAGTGCCCATGAAGAATATAATCTATGGTCCCTGAGAAATAGCAGGAAGGATACCAAATAACAATCTCAAATTCAAATGGTCCTGACTGGACTAAAAACGATGTAGGATTACTTATAATCTGTAAGCTTTCCAAAAACTAATGAAGGCAGGCACTCCCATAGCATTCAGTTCCGTACTGTTGCCCAAAGTGGGGCAATCATCCCTCTAAATTAAAAATATATATTTGGTGCAATTTGTGTATTTTGGCTTATCTCTTAAGTCCTAAATGTCTGCATGAAGGAAGTTAAAGTATGCCAAAAGTGATGCTCGTTAAACTAAAAGATATTATTATTTCTGTTGTGTAATGTTAAATTCCGGCTACCTAGACTGCCACGGGTATATGCAACCATTCCGCACCATTTGATGCCACTTAG